TCAGATCTTAAGTTTATCAAGCCATAGTTTCTGTAATCAGGCACCAAGAATTATAGATATAATCACAGTTCTTAAAATAATAATAATCTCAATTAGTTCGGAAAGTTTAGTTCCAAATTTCATCAAAGCAGAAATAAGTCAGCACAATCTAAACAAAAACAACGTCTCTACACACAAACATGCTCAGCCTGGAAAATGTCTCACTACTATTTTTTTTTCCTTTTCTTTTACAGGATTTAAACAGACCAAACTGACAGGATTCTTGTTCTAAAACTTTATTGTTTTGCTTTGCTAAAACCGATATCAGGGTCAATTCTATAACTGATTTCATTCGCTGCTATCATCTGTGTCATCAAAATCATCATCATCATCATCATCGTCATCTGACCAGTCGAATTCACTGAAACCCAAAGCCATGTTGATTTTCTTTCCTTTTCTCATAGAGGTGGTTTTAGAAGAATTCTTTTTGGCTTGCATGTTTATCTGCATTCCAGAATGCAGGACAGATCCTGCTTGGTTCAGAGAGAAGATATCCCCAAAGCCCGTCATCATCAAGGCCTTCAGACTTTGGTTCATGCCAGCTACCTCCCCGTTACTTGTTGCTGTGATCTGACATGACATCTCTGCACTGTTTGACTCCTCTGTTTTAGATTCAAAGTAAGACTCCTCAGACATTCTTGCAGCAAGAGGTAAGAAAAACTATTTAAAGGAGGAAAGGACAGAGCAAAAGTGAAAGTTAGAACCAATTTAAAAATCGAGGGAAAAGACCACCAGATTAGTTGGCAATCAACAGAAAGCACAACGATTAGTGAATCTAAACACGGAGAGAATTCATTAAACCAGACGGCTTCATTCCGGGGTCACTGTTCTTAACCCAAAGTGCAAAAATCACTGAGCTGCATGGCAAGAACCACAGGTAGCAGAGCTTTCATGACAAAAGAAGGTTCAAACTCTTCAATCCTTCATTTTGTACAGTGTAAAACAGAATGTGCCATTTCCCAGCCAGGCGGGCTGGCTCCCAGGGCAACGCGGGTACCAGAAGTCTGAGTGAGTTGCTTAATTGAACCTTTCAGGATTGAAGAATAAATCATGTTAAGATCAGAGAAACCAAACAAGCTCCCGAAGTTTGGTGCAGAAGTAGCAGCCCTCTAAATATCAGAAATAACAGCAGCAGCATTACTTGTGCAAAGACTGGGTTTGATCGCACGCTCAAAAGGAGAGGAAAGCGTCTCCCTGCGACGGCCACAACCAGAAACAAGCCTCTCACCAGTGCGACCAGCCTCCAGCCCACACCAGCACCTTGCTTCTGGAAGCTGTCCCAGGGAGGAGCAGGCAAGGGAAGAGGGGCTGTTTGGTCAGCTGGCCAGCTTCTTCAGCCTGGCTGCCTTGGTTTTTTTTTCAGCGGTATCCATAGGTATCTGCCATTTGGTTGTACACCATACTAAATCTCCACTGGTTTAACGTTTACCTACAGATAACGGTGCTTCCCTGACCCAGCCTGTTTGCATTTGTTATTACAATGTGTCCTCTCCAGCTAAATAATCATTAATGCCTCTTCAGAGTGGCCGGGCTAGTACCTCTGTGACATGCTTGCCTGTTCTCCACAGGGAGTAAAAACTCAGGAGTTTCATCCCAAATTAAGCTACCTACTAAAGCAACAGCAAAGGACCTGTGCATGAACACCTGAACTGGCCTTTCTTTCCAAAGCTGTTTGCAAAACTTCCTGCCTAAAATCCATGGTTTTCTATATCTTTAACCTAATCAGAAAAGTGACTGAAGAGTCAACGGCAGTTGGTCACAGGGGGTTACAAGGGTGATTAAGGTGATGCCCTGTTCTGTAACACAGGAGGCTTCATGGCCAGGCTGCTCAAAGAGTGCCCATTTCTTGGCAAAACCACTTACATTAGATAATTTGTCTATCATTAAAAGAGGACAGTATCTGTCTTTTTGTCACTCTCGAGTTTTCCATACTTACATAGGCTTTCTATTTGCACGTGGTTAACAAAAGTTAGTGATCATGGTTTAAGAAATGAAAATTAAGAAGCTGGGGATATGGGGTGCCCTAAATACTCTTCATGTGTCCTTTGGCTAAGCAACCTAAGAACCTGCAGCTAAGCTTCTGTACACCTGGCTGTACAGGAAAAAACAATTACACCATCACCAGAGCACTCCTTGGACCAAGGACACCAAAAACCCCTACTGACAAAGAAAAGGAATATTTTAAAAACAAGATCTAGGCACAGAAACGAGATGCCCAGCACACATGATTGAGTGCCAGGTAGTTCTTCCATCAGATACTGGAGTTTCAGTCACTCTAGATTCATGGAAAAGCATCCCAAAGAATTCCCTATTAAAAAACATCAACAAAGCTACAAAACAGCTTTCCCCTAAAACACGTTTCTGGGTCAGTGTTTGTGCAACGCCTGGCAGCGGGTAAGCTGCAAATGGGCCATAACTGTGCCTCATTTTGCACTTATACTCATCTTACTTCCTCCACATTTTGCAATCTCATTATCTGGAGAACTCAGGAGCTCTTTGCGACCGAACCTGCCTTTGGTGTTGCACTGCATATGATAACTATCATGACAAGACTTCTATAGATGGTTGGGATCCCCCATCTCTGTACAAGCCATTGTTCTTAAATGACCATCTGCGAGTGCACAGCACCACAGCTGAATATCTGGATTTCATGTCTTGCTCACTGTCTTCTAAATATGAGCTTCAGTTTAGCTCACACACTCCTTTCTTAAAGTCAGGTCCTCTTTCAAAAGAAGTCTCCCATTTCACTACAGCTATGGATATGTTTTACTCTTCTAAAAGGCTCCAGAATCCCTCGTGCAAGAAGCTCTTGGAGAACCGCACAAAGGGAATTTGCAGAAATCAGGCTCAAAGGTGTCTGTTTTGTAAGACACAGCAGAAAGAGGGTCAAAACAAGAGCAGGGAGAAATGCTACTTTCATAGAAGTGTTTCTACAGCTTGGCCTCACCCTTCACTCACACTGATGTGTATAAACCTACAACTTACGCTTTCGAGTCGGAGCTGCCTGCCACTCATAGCTACCTACCATGCAGAATGGCAGGACAAAGCTTCTGCCAATCCTAAAACACTGGAGAAACAAGTAGCAGAGACAGCATCCCTGTTCTCCTTTCACTTGGTTTCTATCTCCTCTTGCATACCACTTTACAGTATCTGCTGGCCTCTGGTCTTTGCTGCAGAGCAAAATGAAGAAGTGACTGCAGAGAGTAGGGCAGGGATGACAGTACCAGCTAGAACACAACAAGGCCTGGTGTTGGTTAGGAACCAGGTGTAAGCCTAGTGGGCACCCCAAGCTGTGTTATTACCTCTGGTTGCCACAGCTTTACTACTGTTTTTACAGCCAAGGTAGCTTAAAATCAAGCAGTGTACCTCCCTGTTGCAATCCTTCAGTTTGACACTGCTGAGCAAACATACCCTGAACTAAGGGAGGGAGGGAGGCACTCAGCTCCACGGACTGCAGCTTGCAAACAGAATGCCCAGGAATATTTTGCAAATGGTTTACAGCTATGAATTTAAAATATAGCTGTATTTGTAAGCAGTGCCTTGTAGAACTTCATATGCTATGGAAAAAAAAAAAATCTGGCTTGAACAAGTCAATTTTTGCAGTATATCAATTTTTTCCAACAAAAGCTTTTTTTTTTTTAAAGACATTCCATGTAACAGTTCAATAAAGATCTATCGAAAAAAACAAATCTTCATTTCTCTATTAGACGAAATTGTGTTTAAATGCAATAGGAGAGTTGGGTTAATGTTATGCAGAAAGATAGTTCATGCTTAGCACAATAGGCCTTAGCACAATGCTTTATTCTTTCAGCAGTGCCAGCTCTAAGTGAAAAGTAGAAGTCATAAGCAAGTACAGCATAAAAAACCCTAGGGCCTTGCTTGTGAAAAGGTTTGCTCATTAAGGCTGTGTCTCATGCTGTGCTCAGGACAGATGATGGCCCACAGCTCAGTTACTGGAAGTTTGCAAGCGTTAAAGCAGGCACACAGCGATCTACTGAGAACACACAGTATCTGCACATAGGAAAACATTCATTCTTCATGATGTCACGACTACATGTTCACAGCAGGAACATGAATGCAACTTCATTCAAACAACAGCAATAAGGTATGGCTTAAAAAGTGGTATGTAAATGGGTCTGGCTGGAATGAAGGTTGTAAGTAGGCTAAAATTGTCATAGGAAAGTCATATGCTACTGCAATCTCAATTTGGTATTTGTTTTGGTTAGTGCTTGAAAAACAAGTTGGAAATGCAGTATTTTTCTTAACAACAATTCTTTTGTAATACGTCTAGCCATGCACTAATCCTGTGGTCCTCTCCCTGCCAATCAGTAGTCAAGAGCATCATATTTCATTAAGAAACTCAAGATAATCCAAGGAAGTTTTTTTTCTTCAATTTATAAATAGAAATACAGCAATGCTAACTACTAATAACTGGCCAGTACAAGTATGTTAACTATAATTATGAACAAAGCCCTAAACTAACACTTCAAATTTTGACCCTCTTTTTTACAGAATGGAAATTTACTTCTTCCCAAAGAACAGGGGAAAACAAAAATCTACATAAGTTTCTCCAGCCTTCTTCTGCAAGAAACAAATGATTCTTACATTTAAGACCAAATCCTGCATCCTTTAAAGTCAACAACTTTCGAGTTGAAAAAGGAATTTATTGAACGCAATCAACTTTTAAAGCTGAGAACTGTAATTAAATCAATGGGAAACTACAGAAGTGCCCAAGGCACAATATGAACTATCAGCAATATCCGATATCTAATGTATTAGATGAAATTTTTAAAAATTGTATAGTTATTTGCAGTGATGTAATCAAATAGAATTTAATTGGCCCAAAGGAAAAACTAAAGAAAAGAGGGGCCCTGTTTCCTTGGTGTGTCTTTAGAATTACACAGACAAAGCTCCAAATACTTTCTGAAGAAAGAAGAAAGGTTGAATTATTGTCTACTTACAGGAGTATTGGACTGTTCGGTTAACTTCTGCTCCCACATCCTCAAACGTCGCTCCCGTTCCTTTAGTTCCTGCTCTTTAAAGCTCAGATCACGCTCCAGTTTCTTTAGTCTCTCTAAGGTTGCCTCAATTTCACATCTGCACAGAGACAATTTGTTACGTCTTGTCTTTTCCTGACAGATATAAATTGTTCATAATTCCCACCTGAATGTTAATTAAATGTGAAAGGCTGAAAAGTACAATACTAACTCAAGCAGTTCATTTAATTACCAAATGCAAAGCCTTTCAGAGCTTTAAGAACAACTGGCAATGTTTATATTCGAGAACAACCATAATACCTTCAGCTGAAGAAAAATAACATTTAAAAGAGTAAAATGCCATATAAATACTAAAATTAAATTCTATAAAAACTAAAATGCCGTCTTTTTCCTCAACATCACAAAACATGATCTTACCCATAAGGAAACTGCATTAAGAACTGGTAATGGGACAATCATTAGCAACACAATATGGGCAGTCTAAGAAGCCCATTTGCCTGGGCTTATAACTTGGCTATAAATATTACTCGGAGTTATACTCAAAATACACAGAAGCAGCCCTGGGGAGTTTCTCCCACTTACCTTCCTGCTTCTCTAGGTGAAGATGTAAGAGTATAAACCACGGTGAGACCCCAGCCCTGCAACTGGTTACAAATATAAGCCTCTCGAGTTAGGAACGGTTAATAAAGGGATTTGGTATACTTTTCTCTGCTTCTCACCATGCATGCAAAGGTGTGAAAAATAAGAAAGGCAGGAAGGGAAGGCAGTACTCTTACGACGCTTCAGACACCGTCTTTATTAGGTTGCCCTGCACGTACCTCACCCCTTAACAACGTGGTTTCCTTTGACATGCGTTCTGATGGACGGTATCTTTTAAACACTTGAACTGAACTGCTCTTGGAAAAGAGTTTATCAACTCTCTCTGTAGTTTTCCATCACAAATGCATGGGTGTATACTAGAACATGCAGAAAAATAATTCTGTCACTAAATTCAGACACATTTTTTGCTTCTGGGATGACCCAAAAACCCCCTCCAATTTGTATCACAGGTTGAATTTGCATTTAACAAACCGCTTCTGTGACTGTCTGGGAGACTGTGCACTGCCTGCCACTTGTGTCCTGACCTCTGCCCTCAACTGTTTCCTACTCACATTTTGGGAAGAGTCAATCTCAGCGTTTCATTTTCCTCCTAGAGAGAGCGAGCTCCTAAGGAGATGGAGATCCTAAAGAGAGCTCTGAAGAAAGCTACTGAGACTCTGCAATCCCAGATCTTCTGCTCAGACTTTCAGAACATTTTCCTTCCGTAAACACACTGCAAACAAAATCTGCTCCTTCTGATTTTTTCAAAAAGGACTAACAGAATTAGTTGTCATTTCTGGGAGGAGTGGGGCGGGAAGGAGGAGTGAAGAAAAAAAATAATATTTCTTCCTGTAAATCTCCTGTCCTAGCATGGAATGAATAAACTCTTCTGCTGATCTTAAGGAGTTCAGTCTCCCAGTGTAGGAAAATGTGTACCTAAATAGCCTATTTGAGGGCATGAAATAATTTAAATATTCGAAATCTTACAGATTTCTTATTTTAATGACATCTCTGTCAGAGAGTAATGCTTACAAAAGTATAGTGAAAGGATTCAGAGCTGGAATAACGAGCAAACTCTACTGCAAACTCTGTTACCACACTTAATTCTACTGCAAAAAATCAGCCACCTGGGGCAAGGACATTTATCACACTTAAATCCTGCTGAGTGAGCTGCTCGATGTGGTGGTCAGAACAAATGCCCCTCACAATTACTACACTTGTGTTTCAAGCACAACTCTCTCTCCTATTTAGGCATGCAAAGGTCAGGGCTGATCTCAGTGCTGGGTGGAAAGTGGTCACACATCCTAATAAAGAAAAAAATATCCATCCTAATAAAGGAACAAAACTAAAAAGCAAAGGATAGAAGGTCAAAAAGTAACTCCCCTCTAAACATTCATTTCCGTATCATAAACCCCTTCTGTCAGGTTCAACAGGTAGTATGCAATCTACCGTGGGAACTACAGAGCAATTTGAGGATAGTTGCAAGCACTGCTTTTCTTAGTTTGGCTCTCAACAGCACTGCTACTTATACACAACTGTAATTTTTAAAATATGTAAATTAAGGTTCTCTTTTGAATAACATCCTGCACTAATAAAGTCCTGGTAACAATAGCTTTCTCTATGTCAAGACTCTATTTTGTGCTGTAATTACCTCTCTTCATTAGACAGAAACTTCTTTTATAACAAAAGGTCAGTCTGCAAAAACAGTTGCATTCTGAAAAATAACTCCACTGTATAACAGAACTGTATAATTAAAGAGAAAGCTACCGTACATTGCCCAGCTAATGAGTCTTACTTTATAAATGAAGCAGCTTGAAACATTATACATGGCAGGGCATGTGGATTTGTTTGCCTCTGTAGTTTTGCAGTCTGAGCTTACTGGCTTTTCCAGAATAACCTCACTCTGTGACACTGAGGAATGTGTACTGTATTATCAGAAACGATAATGATAAACAGTCACAGATTAAAAACAATGACTGGCATTTGTCTATATGTCTTACGTTAGTGTGTTAGTAGCAATTCAAGTATCGCTACTAGACTATTTTAATCATCACAGCAGCTGCTCGTGGGGAAACGATGGAAGGAGAAACCCAGTTAGTATATATGATTAAATGCAGACAAATGTGCTCTCTCACCGAATTGGAACATCATTACTTCAACAGTAATTTTTTCCTACTGTAATAAAAGTGACTTGAGTAAGGGCTCCAAAAAGATCACAGAATATGAACGTAAACATAAGGCAGACCTGTGCAACTCAGCTGTAACACAGTGCCCATGTTTGATTGAATAATAAAAATGTGAAGGGTAGAACACTTAGGAATCTGAATTATTTTAAGGAAATGATAGAACAGACAAATTAATATAAACATCAAGACCAGTAAATATTACAAATAAGACCACATTAAAGATAGGTCGAAGTGTCACTTATCACCTCTGTCAGTCACATGTGGATTCAGCCCACTGTCAGCTCTAAGGCCAGCCAGAGATGTTCAAGACACTAGTTACTCGCTGTTACAAATGCATTTTTTGGCATATGTCTGTGCGCAAAGAACCTCAACTTGCCTTTTTTTAAAGAGTGGAGAAAAAGTAATCCAGCTTGTCTGAGCTTTGATTTGCCCCGATACGTGCCGTACCCCTGTGAAAGCGCAGTATCTGGATTGCTAATTTGGAGGTCCCTCAAAGGAACAGGTGTAACCTTCGCTTTTCCCAAGCCCACCCTTCTCCAGGGCTCTGATAGCCAGGCTTCATTAAAATTCCCTATTTTTTGGTAACACATCTCATCCTTTCCCTATCGCTGGTTGAACTATCTCTTTGCAAATCACTATAGGATTAAAAAAAAAAAAAATAGCAGTAGATAAAAGCAAAGAATTTTCAATGCAGAAGTTTAATGTGTTTTAACTTCCGTGCAACTGTTCTCAGAAATGGTTTTAGTTTATCCCTTGGGATCACTTTATGCATACAAGTCTTTCATCTCCTTTAACCTGCATATTTTTTGCATGCTTTCTATTAATTTGGCTTAACCTTCATGAGTGTCTCCATAGAGACATGGCTTTCGCACCAGGGAAGGCAGCTTCTAACAGGATTCAGGTAGGAGCGTGCCCCCTCTTACCCAGCTTCTGAGCAAGTCCTCACACGACCTGCACCCCTTCTGCACTCTGTGTTTTCATCTCTACTGAATTCAGAAATCCTCTTTGCTTTCAGCCAAATCATGCCCCATCATGAGTTTGTTCTCTCTCACATTTCCTTGTCTCCAAGTTATTTATTCTTAGGAAAAAAAAAAAAGGAATTTGAGTACTTGCTTATGTTTTAAATAAAGGTTTTTACTATACAGGGGTGCATAAGAAGCCCCTCGCTGCGCGGTATGTTTCTTCCAATCCTCCTCGTGGCCCGTCTGCTACCAACCCCGCAGTATGATGCCCAGAGCCCAGGAACTGCGGGTTTACACTTCAAATCCCCGACATCCGTCCCAAGCCTTACGGTCCGGGTTTGGGGGGCACGAGAGGGAACTGCTGCACTGTAAAAGCAACGCCACAGCCTCACGGACAAACGCCTGAGCGCGGGGCACCGGCAAGAGGGAACGCGGGGCGCCCCGGGGCGCCGGCAGCGCGGCGCGC